TGCTGCCTGCTCCTGGCTCCTGTAACAAGTCTGCGCCACGCTGTGAGTCCCGCCGGGCTGCGGGTGGGGGTGCAGGGCCCGGTGACACCCCCAGTCCGGATCGGTCCCTGCCCTGCGCCCTGGCACAGACGAGCTGGCAGGGAGCAGCCAGGGCCCCCTCGCTCAGACGCGGACATGGGGTGTGGTCGTGGGCATCACAGAGCACCAGGTGCCCAGGCAGGATGCCAGGGTCCGAGCACACCCGCTGGCTGCCGGCCCTAAGGCAGGCCAGGCAAAGGGGCTGGCTCTCACCTGAAAGACATCGCCGTCGGCAGCCGCCCCCGTCTCCTCGAAACCAGCTGCATGGGAGGCAAGAGAGAAACCTGTTACCCCGGCGGGCAGCTGGCCCGGCCCCGGTTGCTGGGCTCAGCTTGGCGCACGCTCCCGCGGCAATGCCGGGGGGTCAGACGGAACGGCACGGGGAACCGGCGTGGGGGAGGGGGCAGTGAGTCGGCGGAACAGCGTGGGGGGGGCGAGGGGCCCCCGGCCCCGCGTCAAGCAGTGCCCCCCTGCCTCACCGGCTGGTGGGAACCTGGAATCTTCAACCCCCTTTCCCTGGCGCTTTGTTTCCAGGGACTGGCGCAGTCGCAGGCTCTGCTCCCCCGCGCCTGGGCCGAGGGGGGTTTCACTGCAGACTGTGATTAGCAGCTGCAACAGGCCCCCTCAAACATTCCCACCAGGTGAGCGGTCACGGGCACGTGTGATTGGTCGCTCACAGGGGCAATCAGCTGCATCCCCCCACTCAGCTCCTGGGAATCCCGGGCAGGGGCTGGGCCATTTGATCTTCAGGGAGGCTGCTCCCCCGCGCCTGGGCCGAGGGGGGTTTCACTGCAGACTGTGATTAGCAGCTGCAACAGGCCCCCTCAAACATTCCCACCAGGTGAGCGGTCACGGGCACGTGTGATTGGTCGCTCACAGGGGCAATCAGCTGCATCCCCCCACTCAGCTCCTGGGAATCCCGGGCAGGGGCTGGGCCATTTGATCTTCAGGGAGGCAGGAAGGCCGGTGCTTGCAGGGGAGCGGTCCGAGAGCCTGCGAGGGGCTGCCAGCCAGCCAGGCCCGTGGGGGGGCG